AATCTCCAAAAAAAAAAGGCCTCAAATCTTGAGAATTCCTCTTCCCAAACACCAGCGATCCAGCTTCTAATACTTCTTGCTTCAAGGTTTCCACTTATTTCAAAAATTCGAACAGTTAATTTTATAGATTATAATGGACCTTTTCAATAGTATTTGTTTTTCATATTTACCTTCAAATTTCAATTAATTCTTTACTTTATTTTGTGAAAAATTGTTCAATTGAAATCCCTTGAGGCTTGAGCTAGAGAGTCGTCATCAGCAATTTAGCATACTTTCGGAATTCGTGTCGTCGATGAAAAAATCTGCAATCTGCTAGCCGATTACCTCGTCGGCGCTAAAAAGGAAAAGTTTCACCGACGATTTGCTATAGCTTGCCTTCTGCCACAATCGGGCCTAATGTCTGTCGGCGCCTTCCGTTAAATAGTTTGAGTGGTTAATTAATTGGTTGTTTCTTTTTGTTAACATTCTTTGTGAATTAGTTGTTTGACTGTTTCTTTAGATTTTAAAGCTTAGTGATTCTTTTGAGTACCATATAGTGATTTTAAAAGAATTGAAAAAGATTGAAAAGGCCATTTGATTTAGTGATTTATTTGTTTGCTTATATTGTTTAAAAATGCTTGAGTAAGATTTATTTGTTTGCTTATATTGTTTAAGAATGATTGAGTACTTATTTAGTGATTTTGTTTGTTTGGTTATAATTTTGTGTGGTAAGAGTAAGACCGTAAAATTTAGATTAGTTGTGGTAATTTTGGTTAAGTTATGTTGTAATATTTTATAAATTATAATTTTATTTTCATTATAAAAAGAATGTAAGATCATTGTTGGTATTAATTAAAATATGTAATATTATATTTCTTAAAATAAAAATACAAAGTACTTGGGCATTATTTTTATATTGGCCCAGGGCCTCGTAATTTCCAGGACCGGCTCTGCGGAGAACGTTGATACCGTATGTCACCGGCCATCGTTGGCGGCGAACATGTCTGTGGGTCGGCAGACATGGCAGCAGGTGGATGGTTATAGCTTGGGGTGTGATGTTGAGAATTTGATTAGATGTAGGGACTTGATTGCAATTGTATAAACTTTAATTATATTATAATTGAGTACATGTGTTAAATGTCTAATTAATAAACATAATTACTATTTATTTTTGTAACTATTATTTATAATAATAAAAACAACAATATTATTTTTTATATAATTTTTTTTGGGTTGGTGATTTTATAAATTTTAAAAATCGAAGCCGTCATGAAATAAATGTGCTTTTAATAATAAATACAATTAATTGAATCAAAATATAAAAATTTAAACTGTATATTTTAGATTGGTCGAAATTGTGCAATCTAATAGACATTAACGTGCATTTTATATAACCATAACGTGCAATGACAGTACGTAAAAAGAATGTAAATAAAAAAAAAAAATTCAAATAATTTGGAAGATTCAGTTATTTTATTTATAAAAAAAAAATAAAATCAACATCAACTAGAAATATCCATGACCTTTAAAAGTAAGGAAATAAAATCAAACCGTCATATAAAAATTTGAACTTAAAATGTTAATCGATTAGTTTTAGTTCGATAATGTGCAATACAATGGTCATTATTGTGCAATTCATATAACTCTAATGTGCTCCTGGATACCTAAACATTTTTAAAAAATAATAATATAATTTTTTCATACTTGTTCGGTCAGTTCAATTATTTAAGGTATTTTTAAAAGTGAAGCAGATGTAGAACTGAAATAACCGTAATTTGAAAGTAAAAACAAATAATCGAACCGAAATGTGCGATCTGATAGTCATGGAAGTGCAATCTGTACAACATTATAGTGCACTTGATCGTAGATATTTTTAATGGTCTAGTCCACACCAAAAAAACCAATTTAATTGTTCATTTTATTGGATCAATTAATTGGATTATTTTAAATAATGTATATATTTAACGTTTATATAATTTTCGCATTAATCGTGGGGTGTGATGATAAAGTGCAACGTGTTATTTTACAAAGTGCAACGTTTCATTATATAAAGTGCAGTAATCTACAATTTCCTCCATAAATTATCTATATACAAGATCTCGATTAATGGATGTAATTGTACATCGAATTAGCCTAAATAACTAAATATATTTTTATTTACTATTTTTATTATATAATTTATTTTTTATTATAAATTATTTTAATATTTTATATCATTTTAATTAATAATATATTTGTCATTTAATATATATGCATAACAAAATATATGAAAAATAATTTTTTATTAACTTTCAATAATTATAGATTTGACCCATGGGTTAAATTAAAATATAATCAAAGTTACTAAAATTGCAAACAAACCCCTATACATAGTCTAATTCTCACAACAAAGGCCCAATTTCACATATCAAAATCAGATCTTCAAATTGCCCGTATGGCCACCTATCACGTCGACGACGGCGTGTCTTGAGCTGCAGGAGACGGCAGATGTCGAGGCGCCGGCGGTTCAAATATTATTATTTTTTATTATTATAAAGATAAATATAATTTATTTATTTCATATATACAATATGGATGTCAAATCGAAGATCATCAAAAGATGATTAATTTGATATATTATATATGTAAAACCGATAAGAAATACAAAAGTTATCAACTTTTAAAATATATTTATAATTCAATAGCTTATTGAAGGAAACAAATCAAAATTCAAGGGATATATTAGTCACTTAGTGCCTCACTGTAAAATTGCAAAAAATTAAAAGGTTCTATCAGTAAAAGTGATATTAAAATACATAAGTTAGCTAAATAATATTTATGTAATACCCGAACCTAGATCATTAATCATTAATATATCAATATTATTTATCCAAACCTAATTACGAAGCATGATTCTTCGCCAAATAGGATTCCGAAGCACCAGAAGCAGCCACGTAGGCTCAGCACATTCGGGAATAATATATAGGGAGGATATATATATAAGTTCAAATGTATTGATAAATTGTAAATTTGGTCCCGTTAGATTCGGACAGTCGCAATTTTAGTCCCACGATCGCAATTTTAGTCCTACGGGTTAACGGTGACTTCACGGTCTGTTAGATTTGGGACCAAATGCGGAACAAAAATTAGTTAAGGACTGAAATTGCGCCTCTTGAGACTAAATTGGGACCATCTCAATCTAACGGGACCAAATTTACAATTTCCTATAAAATGGAGAATGACTACATTATTCGAAAATAAAGTATTCAATGAGCATTTGATAGTGTGTTATATAATGAAGAATGACTACAGGATTGTTATTTAACCATTAGGATGTTTTATCTGTAAATTATGAATTATCTATCATACACTAATTTAAGTATGTATCTAACGATTAAAAACACTACATTGACAAAATGATTACGGGACTGTAGTTTGTCCCAATAAAATGATAGGAACTCTATTTAATAGTATTTACATGAATAAGTTTGTGGTTAAGCTGCCCTTTATTTATTTAAGTTTGTGATATACTTATACAGACAAAATTTCATTTTAATCCTTTATGTTGGTCATATTTCAGCAAATGTTCACTTTTTTTACAAACATCAAACTTAGTATATTAATGAAAATTCATCGAATAAGATACACTAATCATTTGTGACAGGATAAAGGTCATATTATCATGGGTTGAACGCGAGCTAATCACAGGCCAAAAATGTAGTTTGTGCATATAATTTTGAACGGGCAATTGACTAAGCAAACGAACTCCATTTTGTCTGAAATTTTTGACAATATGACCATCTCGACGCAAAGAATTCAACGGTATCTCATACTTAAAAGTGACGTGAGACCACACCATAAATTAAACTGAAAATTGAATAACTTAAATTATTTTAATTATAATAGTTAAATTTTATATATTAATTGAAAATGTCAACTCACATTGAATTTTTTTACTTATATCATATGTTATATGAAAAAAAAAAAAAAACTCCCAAGCCTGCCCGGGGAGACACAATCAAATGCTGGTCCAAATCCATACAAGTCCATGGTTCTAGCCCAAAAAGAAAGTACAATGAGCCTAAGACCTGCCTCTCGTGTTGCACAGATAAATGAGGCAAAAAAGACCTCAGAACATGCAAGAAAGGCTATACAAACCACTCAAAACTATACATGCATACAACTTTCCATTGTCGATCCAACACGAAATCGACAAATTGTGTGTGTGTGTGTGTGTGTGCTACTTTTCTTATTGTTTTTCATATCTCATACCATATACGCACTTTCGATTAAATCGCATAACTAATCACAGTTGGAGATCGATCTTCAGGTGCTAGAGTAAGAGGCCAATCAAAGATTGGTGAATCAGCCCACATAAACAGTTGGCCATATGTGTCTCAATCAAAATATTGGTCCGCCTTAAGGCCTTCCAAGAGAAGAATGATGAAACAACATCTTACTATACGAGTGTATTTCCCACTGGAGCCACTGCTATACAAAAGAGGTCCTCCATTATCCCTTCCCCGGGGAGAAACAACCTGGAATAGGCCCTTGTATAAAAGAGGCCCGAAAGCGGCCCAAGTCTTTAAATAAAATTTCCGGTGAAGGCGAAGCAATTTACCGATCATCCTACCATCTTCTTTTCCCTTTCTTATTTACTTTTTAATAACAATAAAACACTAACCGCACCCTAAATAATGTACTACCTCTTCGGTGGTCCAGTTGACGAAAACGAACGTCAACATGAGGTATATAAATAATATTTATTGTTTGGCGAAAAAAATTATAAATAAAATACTATAAAATACCTTGGCCAGTTCACAGAACAAACTTAACAATGAAACTAGAAATTTGAACAGAGATAGCCAACAGTAAAAGGTGAAAGTACATATGTATATATATACCGTCAATCTCCATTGTTGTGCACCTTCTTGCTGTGCTTCTTCTTCACATTACGCAGCCACCCGATCCCTTTGGCAGCCTTGGAAAATCTTACCAGACTATTAGGCTTCCCAATCCCCAAATTCATCATCTTCACAGAAGAAAACTTGAGTGCCTGCAGACAACACAAACCGCCCCCGACTTGATCATCTTCGCTATCATCACCGTCTTCTTCTTCTTCTTGCTTTTGTCCTTTCTTCTTCGCTTTCATATTATTACCATCATTTTTCGCCTTCATTTTATTCGACTCGGTCTCGTACGTCTCCCACAATGAGTCCATCCCTTCCTCTTCACACCGCTCGTCTAACAACCTGCACGCTAGCGACCTTTTCCACTCTTTGTCCGTTCTCATTGATCCCAGCCTCATGGACTGCTCTCTTATCATAGGATAGTCTTCACTGTCTGCACTGATGTCATTTACTTTCTTAACCGTCACATGCGCCTCCGCCTTTTGATTCTCGGCTACTCTCTTAATTTCCACTCCCTTTGCTGACTCGTTTTTCGTTTCTTCTAAACTCTGCAATCTCTTTTCGTCATTGTAGTTATTACCATCTTCACCCTTTTTTTCCTCCGAGACTTCAATTTGTTCCGACGAGCCGAAAATGGCCTCGTAAATCTCGAGCTCCTCGAACCCACAAAACTTTTCGCTCTCATAATACTTTTCGGGGCGCAACTTTTCAAGAACAGAATTATACACCAAGAGAAGGTGTTTTGCGCTGCCTCGACTTGATACAATATTGGAGAACAAGTTCTCATTGGGGAGAAGAACGAGGAAAAGAATGAAGCCGACGATGCAAAGAGGAGATAGGAATACAAATTTGACGAGTATGAGAAGATATGGTAAAAAGAAAACGAATAAGCCAAAATAGAGAGGGTGCGAAAGAACGGCGGAACAAAACCGAGTCGAGTTTGAGACAAGAACACCGGAAATGTGGAATTTGGAAGTTAACCACTCAAACATTTTTTTTTTTCCTTTACAGAGAGAGGGAGACAGAGAGAGAGAGAGACTGCAAAATTGTGAAGAAATGGAAGTGAAGAAGACAAACAAGTACTGTCTACTTATTATGGTAGTGAACATGGACTATAATAAAAAGGAAAAGGAGAAAAAATATTGATGAGAGATAAAATGGAGTGCATAACTAACAATGGTGAAAAGTGTATAACATCATTTGCTTTTTTTTTTTTTGAAAAGCTCTTCTTTTTCGGTTCTAACCACCACGGAAAAGATGTCCCTTTATCAATCATGTAATTAGCAGACAGATTCTCCATCTATGCTACACTTTTTTAGTCGTCTCTTAGGAGACATCTGATAAAATCGGAACGATACAGAGAAGATTAGCATTGCCCCTGCGCAAGGATGACACGCATAAATCGAGAAATGGTTTCATATAAATCAGCCTGGAATCATATAAGTCAGTTGTACAAAAATACAAATGAAAGCAATGAGTAATTAAATGTGAAGTTGGAATGGTTTCAAAGAGGAAAGTAAGAGGTGACTGATAATGAATCCTAAAGGCCTTTAGGTGTACAATGGGGTTCTCTCCTCACATGGGAAACCACTGAAATTATCATGGCATTACTACAGAACAAACCCTTTTGAAAACTTCTGTAACAAAGGTGATGTGATAATACCTCGACCCCAGTCCAACAACCAAATGGATGTTGGGACAAAGATGTGTTGACTATTGAGATATGAAGTGAATATATATATATATATATATATATATATATGATGTGGTTCAAATGAGAACAAGTGCTAGCGTGAGAACCGTTAGAAACGCAATTTTTTATTGTACGTAGTGCTATGATTGGCTGTGTTTTAATGTAATTTTTAATCAAAATGGATTTGATTAAAAATAGCAACACAATGTATATTAGCATTTGTGAAAATAATAGCACCATATAATATTAAAAATAGCATCACACACAATTAAAAATAGCATCAAATACGGTTCTCACACCATAATTAGTTTTTATTTGAACCAACTCCTATATACATAAATGTTTGCATTTACCTGAAATATAAACTAAAATACCGCCTAAAATTTCAGAATTACTAAAATAGGTTAATTTTTCGACAAAATTCTGAATATCTCGCCTAAATGTGTTCCAAATTTTTTTGAAAGTAAAAACTAATTCAAACCAATTTAAAGGAAACAATCACAGAAATATATATACTTGGGTACATTCTATATCGCCTAAATGTGATTTGTAATGAATAATAAGTGAAAAGAAATCTTATCTACATTTCTGTAATATTGCCACGATACCATTTTAAAGAAAATTTTATGTATGTTTTACCATTTTAAGATACTAGTAATTTGCACGTGCGATGCAATAATTTATATTTTAATGCGATTTTAAATTATATTTTATCTCTTATATTTTTATGGTCTATTTAATTTTTTTGCATTATAACTTTCAATTAACCAAACAAAAGAAGTACATTACATACTTAACTGTCAAATATATTGAAAGTTGAAAAAAGAAATACAGTGTTGAAAATAATAATATTTCAAAGTTATGGTGAAAAAGATTGCATGAAAATTTTAGATATCACACCTTTTATTATCTAAGTTCGTCTTGTTTATTCATTTTTTTATTTTTTATTTTTGATTGGGGAAGCCTGAAAACATGCACAGTAAAACTAAATTTAATCTCATAAAAGTTGCATGTGATAGTTCACAATTTTGTCTTTTTATCTTGTTGAAGAAAGTCATTCTTTGTTATTTTTTTTTTTATTGACTAAATAAAATTTTTACAATTCAATTAATATATGTTATCAAAGTACACTGATGATTCTTCCATGACTGATCGTTTGTTTCATGAATTCTTAGCATTTAAAAAGTCACAGGACCTGGCATCTAATAAGTCCAGCTCACATGTTGTTGCAACTGCTTTTGCTAAGCCCTCAGGTATACCTAATCCCTTGTTATGCATGGCTACTAGACATTTGTCTAAAAATACATGCATACTTGATACTGGAGCTACTGACCACATGCTTTGCACTGCTGATTTCTATTCTTCACCTGCCATATCCACCTCCATTAAAATTAATCTTCCAAATGGCAATCACACTACTGCATCTCATGTTGGTCATGTATAACTTGCTGATTCATTAATATTACATAATGCATTGTTTGTTCCATCATTCTCATTTAATCTAATTTCAATTTCTAAGTTAACAGCCACAAATAATTGCATTGTCAAATTCCTATCTTCATCTTGCATTTTACAGGATCTGTCAAACCAGACAGTGATTGGTTTTGCTGATCTTAAAGATGGCTTATATCATCTCAGATTAGATAATTTTAATACTTTACAATCTCAGATGAACACCAATGTATTTGCTTTACCTGTATGCTCATCTGTCAATGTAAACTCCTCTTTACATGATAACTCCCCTTTACATGTAAATCCATCACCTGTTCATAATCACACACATGACAATTCCATCTGGCACTACAGATTAGGCCATTTATCATACTCTAAACTTCATACATTACCTATTTCTTCTTTCAAAAACAGAGTTATGACTCCTTGTGATGTATGTCACTTTTCCAGACAGAAAAGGTTACCTTTTACTGAAAGTTCCTCTTCTGCTACTACTCCTTTTCAATTAATTCATTGTGATCTATGGGGTCCATTTTCAACTATTTCTCATTCTGGTCATAAATATTTCCTAACTATTGTAGATGACTACAGTAGAGTGACCTGGATTTATCCAACTGTTTTAAAATCAGACATCAAAACTCATATGCATCATTTCTATAATCTGGTGTTAACACAGTTTGACAAGAAAATACAAATTATCAGAACTGATAATGGTTCTGAATTCTTTCTTAAACAACTTTATACTGATCATGGCATTATCCATCAAACATCATGTGTTGAAACACCACAACAAAATGCAAGAGTTGAAAGGAAACATCAACATTTGTTGCAAGTAGCTAGAGCTTTACTTTTTCATGCTCATTTGCCTTTACATTTCTGGATTGATTGTGTGCTTGCTGCTGCCCATATCATCAACAGAATTCCAACACCTGTTTTAAATGATAAATCTCCTTTTGAAATGCTTTTCAATAAACCTGCTACTTATGAGCACATGAAAGTCATTGGTTGTCTTTGTTATTGTTCAACCTTGATGGCCAACAGAACCAAATTTTATTCCAGAGCCTCTAAGTGTATATTTATTGGGTATCCTCTAGGTTGTAAAGGTTATATCCTTTACAACCTGGATACTAAGAAAACATTAATTTCTAGGAATGTCATTTTTTATGAATCAGTGTTCCATTTTGCTAATCATTCACCTTCTGAGACTTCTGATTCTCTTTTCCCAGCACCTGATTCTCAATTTATATTTGACCAGTCATATACTCAGCCACCTATCACTCAGCCACCTGATATAAATTCCCCTCAATCACATCCCTCCACCTCACAAAACCAATCTCCATCACCTTCACATACTATTCCTACTCAAATTCCTACTCAAATTGTTCCATCTGAAACCCAATCTCCTACATCATCACCAATCAGGAGAAGATCCAATAGACCTACTAAAATCCCTGCATATCTCAGTGTTTATAAACATTCCATTCACCCTCAGCCAAATTCTTCTTGTTCCAATGCTGCTTCAGACATTCCTGGTACATCACCTTACCCTATTTCAGACTTTCTTTCTACCAACAGATTGTCTACATCCCATACATGTTTCACTGCCATGATTTCTTCTCAAACTGAACCCAAAACTTTCAAACAGGCTGTCAAAGATCCTTTATGGCAAGAAGCCATGAATAAGGAATTACATGCTTTAGAACAAACTAAAACTTGGGTTCTTACTGATTTACCAAAAGGCAAACATTGAATAGGTTGCAAATGGGTTTTCAAAATAAAATACAAATCTGATGGTTCTATTGAAAGATATAAAGCCAGGTTAGTTGCAAAAGGCTACACACAAGAAGAAGGCATAGATTTTTGTGACACTTTTTCTCCAGTAGCTAAGATCACTACTGTTAGGTTTCTTGTTGCATTAGCATCTTTCAAAAATTGGCACATCCATCAACTAGATGTTAATAATGAATTCTTGCATGGTGATCTAAATGAAGAAGTTTACATGACTCCCCTGGCTACTGTTCTGAATCTGAGACTAAAGTTTGCAAATTGACAAAAAGTCTTTATGGCTTGAAACAAGCCTCAAGACAATGGTTTCAAAAGTTAACATCATGTTTACTGTCTTATGGTTTTACTCAGTCAATTGCAGATTGCTCCCTTTTCTATATGAATGATTCAGTTTCTGTTACCATTTTACTTGTCTATGTTGATGATATTATTTTGACTAGTAACAACATGAATCATATCACTGTCATAAAGAAACATTTAGATGATTGCTTTACTATCAAAGATTTAGGCAAACTCAAGTACATTCCAGGACTTGAATTTGCTCATTCTGAACAAGGCATTCATATGTGTCAAAGAAAATATGCTCTAGACATCTTAACTGACACAGGCCTTCTTGCTTGCAAACCTGCATTAACTCCTATGGATTCATCTCTGAAATTAAGTAAGAATGATAATTCACCTGCTCTTGATAATCCATCTGAATTCAGAAGACTTGTAGGTAGATTATTATATCTTACTATCAACAAGCCAGACATAGCATACTCTGTTCAATCTTTAAGTCAATATATGTCACAACCTACTGCACATCATCTTCACTCAGCACAGAGAGTGTTAAGGTATGTCAAGGGCACTATTGGACAAGGTATACTCTTTCCTAAATCCTCTAAATTACAGCTTACAACATATTGTGACAGTGACTGGGCTTCTTGCATTGATACTAGAAAGAGTGTGACTGGATATTTGATATTTCTTGGTGACTCACTTATATCTTGGAAATCAAAGAAACAACCAACTATAAGTAGATCATCTGCAGAGGCTGAATATAGAGCCTTAGCATACACATCCTGTGAAATACAATGGTTAACTTTTCTTTGCACTGAATTACAGTTGTCAATTACTACACCTGTTTGCCTGTTTACAGATAGTAGTTCAGCTATTGCTATGGCCTCTAATCCTGTTTTCCATGAAAGAACAAAGCACATCGAGCTGGATTGCCACCTAATAAGAGAGAAAATAGCTCAAAGGCTCATCCAACTTAAGCACATTCCCACCAAATCCCAACTAGCAGACTTCTTGACAAAAGCTCTTCCAGGCCCTCTGTTCAAGTCTCTCCTCTCCAAGTTGAGCATGCCTAATATCCGTGCTCCACTTGAGGGGGGGTAATAGAATAGTTGTACATAGAGCTTTCATAATTGTACTACACCTTTAGTTATTTCTGCATTGTAAAAGTGTTACTTGTTATTTAACACTTTATGTTTAGCATAGTAGTATATAAGGGTAGAAACCCTAATATCCCAAACAGTTTTTCACTTCATCTTCCTCAGATAATACAATCGTTCTATTCTTTCTCTGTGTTCTATACACTTTACTGTTCAAATTCATCTAATATCGACCCAACGAACAAAGCGAAGCGAAGTTCAGTCAAAGAGTGAAAAAGGAAAGGTGTAATTGAGAAAGATTCTCTTTATATTATCGTCCCTTTTCGAGTGACATAGTTTCATATGCATTTTTTCACTTGATCTAATTAATTTTAGTTATTTTTATGAGTCATAAATATAAATTAAAATTCAAGTTTTTGACGAATTTTAGTTTGTTTTCTTTTGTTGTTGTGTATTTTTTTTCAATCAAATACTATTTTATTTTGTATGAACCATTACAAATATATGCATAATAAATTACTCAACTACTTGTATATAAATTGAATAATCAATTATTTATAATTTAACAAATTACTCAACTACTTAGATTTTATTATTTTAGTTCTTATACAAAAATAAATTTAGTTTAATTAATGAAACATTACAATTATACTTATTATGCTTAGATTTTTAAATTTATGATAAAATTTTACCAAAATAATTATTTAATGGAATCACATTGTAGTCAAATCAAATTCTTGAATAAGAAGTTTAAAATGAAACTTATTCTGAAACGAATATAAGATAATTTATTATAAATTACATGTATCGTACGGGTTGTGTATTATTTTAAATAGAATTATGAAATTTTGCACAATTTAAATATTATATAACATTTCCAATAAATTATTATAGGTAAATTGTATTATATATTAATTCTATATTTCAAATTTATAAATATTACTTAATGAATATTTTTAATTTATAAATATTAATGAATATCTCTTACATGTGCATCGCACGAGATTCATACTAGCTTAGTAGTATTAACACAAACATTAAAGTAATCTATAGTTGAAGTATTCTTTACATATATAATATTTGAAATGTAAAAGTTTCTATATTACGTTCTCTTTAAGTTCTTTAGTAGAAAACACAACATTTATAAGGGCGTAAGTAGGATATAGATATATTGTTCTTTTTTTTTTCGTTAACCAGTGATAACTTAGAAAAGTTGGTTTAATTAGTTTTTAGTGAGATTTTAAGTCTGCATTAAAATAATATTTAAACTAAAATAATTAAATTAATTTGACAGATAGATGATTGAAAGTGATATGTAGTTAAATTATGAATGGATGAAAAGTAAATTAAATTTGATGTTATATATAAGAATGACTGATGATATTATTTAAATTATATTTATAATAATGAAAATAATAAGATTGAGTTAAAGTTATTTAAGTTTTGAATTGAGATTAGATTTGCGTATAAAGTCACACCATAAAATATCTACAGTTGAAGTACTCTCGAACAAATAATTGTCAATCTAAATTTCAATCAATAATATTTATGGGAGTATGTTGGTAATTGACTTGACATTGTCAAAGTCATTGTACATACCAATGTTCTTATTAAGAAAAATCGATCGTCGAACTGTTGAAGCTGCTGGTTCAATGGTTCATTGGTCCGACTAGTGGTTGAACCAGTTTGACCGGTATTTAATATACTAATATTTTTAAACATATATAATATTTTATATTATAAAATTTATACATAGAGCTTTGTTAATTAAATATTAAGCCAATTTAAAACATTCAAATATTTAAACTAACTTATAATAACTTATACATATCCATTATATTTATGCATTTTTGATACATATTAGATATATTTTTAAAGATATTAAAATAAAAACAAAAACAAAAACAAAAACGACGGGACCAGTTTTGTCCGGTCAAAAACAAAAACCGGGACCAATTTTGTCCGGTTCTGACCGGTTCGATGACAACCGGTTCATTCCAGCGAACCAAAACGGTCAACTAACAGGTTCCCGGTCCAACCGGTCAGACCAGCCAGTCCGGTCGATTTCTAAACCGTGGTACAGATAGCATTCTTGCTCCAAGTTTGACTATGATGTGCCATCGTAAGTTACAAACTGGTCACTTGTCTATAAAAGTGCCATGGGGAATTCAAATTTGCAAGCTGTGCAAGTTTCTCGTCATTGAATGGCTACATGAAATATGTCAATGCAGAAATATTACTGGGTTATTTACTTCTTTGTATGAGATGGGAATGATGAAAAAAAATCAATATTGAACTATTTTAACTAAATATGTATTTCCAATTATATTTAAGTCCAGAATCATAACCAAGTATTTCCATTGTTAATTACGTGATTCAAGTTATCCATATGTGAAAGAACTATCTCACAAAAATTATGGATAAGCTACGTGCATTCACTTCGATATTCTAATAATCACACTACGCCTGTAAACAAGAATGGATCACAAGGGCTGGACAATACCAAAGTAATTCACAAGCAAGCAGAAGCAAGGCACAATCTGACAATCAATCTGAAGACAAAATCCACACGGTAGCGTCAGACAATCAATCAACCATAAAGTATCTCAAGACAAAATCCACAAAGTACCGTCACATGTCACATGCACCATGTTGACCTATCATGGTCCAGATAATTACACATTATATTCACGAAACGCCTAAAATGTTCTCATGAGATAAGTGAGACAAGAGAGACGAACTCCTGTGTGATTCGGCCCTTCGATCTTGTGTTGATCACAAAGTGCTCCGGGTATTTCCTTAACAGAACAAGGAGTCCATACCATGGCTTTTCTTGGGCCTCAGGGACTGAATAATCCTCGGATGTGAGGTATCTCCTCACACGACTATGATGCCAGACATTCCCATATTGTTCCATCAACTGCGCAAAACGTTAAAGGTTGGCCAAAATTTGATGCTAAAAAAGTAAGAAAAAAAGAAGAGCAAAAATATGTAACATATACTTTGCTAAGAAGGGTTGCATACTTGCATTAGAGGTCAAGGTAAAATTACAAAACTATCCCTGAGGTTCGAGGTAATGATGGAGCACTCAGGGTTATCTTCAAAATTAGAAGATCTAGATAAGGTTCACAGTTGCTTAAAAATACCTCCTAAATGAAGGAAGTTGAAAAGACATAAACCAATGACATGGGCATATTGGGGATTTTAGCACATTAGTTCTATTGTAATTTATACTGAACCTCTAGAGTGCTTTTCAGAATTCACATCATCAAATGGAATCAACTAAATGAATGAACACCAATACTAAAACTGAGTTACAGAGATGCAGAGGTCACAATGGCATTAACATAAAGGCAGGGTAGTTTAGAGTTTGTTTCTATATGGGTAAAGCAACCCAATATATCATAGCAATTAGCAACACAATTGCCAAATCATTAAGAGGAAAGGTATAAATTATTAAAATGTATGCCACTGTTTTATCTTCTGTAAGGAGAACGGTATCATTTACATAATGTATGACTTCACCAGACTAACAAGGAGAATCAAGAATATATCCTAAATTAGTCGCAACCAGAAACTGTGGAAGTTGTTACAAAAGGGAAGGGGAAAAAGATGAGGGAGAGAGAAAGAGAATAAGCAAGCAAGACAGCAATGCTCATTAAGGAAAAAGTTACCTCAGACTGAAGTTTCTCCATGGGCATCCATTCTCCAGGACCACATAAATCTGACAGGACAGTAGCCACTGATGATACAACATCCTTTTCCTCTAACTGAAGGAGCTGATTGTTGTCAGCTTCCCTGTTAACCCGTGATCGTCCATCAACGTTTTTATCTGCACGAAATCAGATAACAAATAAGAAATTAAAAAAAGAGAAAGATTGCCTTTAACTTCTATGTCTGTAGCATGGATCATCTAATCCTATACCACAAACAAGGTCTTCAGCACAGGCAAAAAGTTTGCAGAGACCCTAGAAAGTGTATAGCTAATTATTTGAACAATACTTAGAAGTTGTTACTTGAACGAGCTGCAACTTTCTAATGCATGCTTTAGTTCACTTACTGAACACTGACCTCCATACTGTTTGTAAATTTGTGTTAGACACCACCATATCTACAGGAAAAATAAAATGTTCACATGAAAAAATGGTGGAGGATTAAAGTGGGTTTTCCATAGTGGCAGGCTTATGATTCCACCATAATTCATCAAGATTACCCAAATCACAAACAAAAAGAGATGAGGCCAGCTTCAAGTCATGGTCTTATCTGTGTCTAAAGCATAAATATGCATCAAGATTTACCTCCCATTATCACTTGTACTGTTTACTAAAAAGTGCGATGCACCTTTAACATAGCAACCACATTCCCTAGTCCCTAGACATGGGCAACAAGCTTGAGATATTTAATACCCAAAAATGACACTTGAGAATAGCTGTGACCACAAAATGGAACATGGGAAATTCAATGAACTTATAGCTGCCACCCAAAAATGAAACAGGATAATCTCATAATCATACAGATCCTGAACTTGCAGGCAACAGAAAACTTATCCCAGGTTAGCTTGCAACCTCGATAGTTAAACGTAAAATAACTCACCCAATTGCCCGGGAGCCCCTGCTTCAATCCTCCTCGTCCTCCTCCCCAGCTCATCCTCCTCATTATAGTCTCCCTCATAATACTCTTCCCTCACTCTACCCTTCTTCCCATACACTCCACCACCCAAAACTGGAGGCAAACCTAAATGACGCTGCTGCTGCTGATGCCGACTCTGATGACCATCGTGATAATGATGATTAGCCACGTGATGCCTGGGGCCGATCGGGCCCCCTAGAATACTCCTCACCGGAAGCAGAAAGTAGAATTCCTTGTCCCCAATCTGCAGAAGGTCCTGCGAGTCCAGCTTGACAGGAGGGTTGCCAGGTAGGTGGAGGACGCCCTCGACGAGGCATCCGTTCTTGCCGAGCACCTCCAGGGCGAAGCGGCGGCGATGGAAGTCGTAGAAGATGCGGGCGTGGTGGCGGCTGATGTTCATGCCACCACCGAGGGAGGAGAGGTCGACGTCGACGGTGGACTTCTTGGAGTTGCGGCCAAGGATGATGGAGTAGGTCTGCATGTAGTACTCGAAGTCCTCGCCCTGAAGCTTCGCGAATCCGGCCTCCACATCGCTGCCGGAGCTGTTTGCCATAGCTGAATAATTTGGGGTTAGCAGTTTGAGTTGTCCCAATTTGGGAGAATGAAGAGTTTTTGTGGACGGACAATTTGGGGAAAGGTTCTTTGCCGTGACGCCCCTCTTTTATGTTTTCTTTTTCTACCAAATAATCCGGACTTATTTGACTGAGTTTAATGCACAAAATCTCATTGTACTATACTAAAACTAGTATGTAACCCGTACGATGCACGGACTGTATTTATTTTAGAGAATATTAAAAATTAAAGTAGATTAATAAATAAAAGAGTGATAATTCGTAGGAAAATTATCAAACCATAAAATGTTCCTCATGCAAAAAAGTATATTACTTAAACTTTCTTGTACACAACATTATTTGTTTAATAACTGGGCAACTCGTCGTCTCCGCAGACTAATTATTTCAACACTTTTCTATTTTTTACACGCAAAACAAACAACATAATTGTTCTTGACTAAAAATAGATTTCTTGAAGAACGTGCCAACATACAATAAATGTTGACCTTGACTCTTCTTGACCTATTACTTACACGCGTACAACATACAATTGGTTGTCATAAAAAACAAAAAAAACAAAAAAAGTAGATTTTTTTAAGAACATTTCAATGCACATCTCTTATCTATTTCTTACACGTAAAAACAACAACATATAGTCGGTCGTTGCTATGAACCGATTTCTTTAATAATATGTCAACGCACATAAAGACTGACTCTGATCTTAAATGAAACCTTAAGGTTAGAAGTAACTGGTGCTCTAGAACTTAAATGAAATCCTAATATGGATCTTTTTATAATATGATAATTTACTTAGGCAGTCAGACAATGAGCTGTTAGTTTAATATCGATTATACTTGATTAGTTATATAATATTCACTAATATTTCTATATTTTTTATACAAAAATACTGACCATGATTGTTAAATGGGACCCAAAAATCAGAAGGAACTGGTACCGCTAAGATAAATCTATTTATAATATGATAATTTATACAACAGTTGGACAAATGAATTGGTGTATATCTACAAAAATATGTATGAATAATACAAAACATTAAATATTACATCACACTAATTTTATGAGAGAGATTATATATAGTAGATATAAAATATAAAATATTAGTGATTAGACATTACTTCAGGCTAATTTTTTCAAGCCAAACAATTTTTAATTGAATGTATGACAACTTGTTATATATTTTCAAACTGAACAATTTTTAATTGGACAGCTTTCCTATTATATGTGTGACAACGTTTTAGGTTGTAAATTTATATATATATATATATATTTATAGATTTTGCAATAAATTTATATTTTGTGTATACAAAAACAAAAATCGATTTACTATAAAAAAATTTGAAAATTTTCCTTTTAAAAACATTTGACAAAAAGATATCAATAAAGGGAATTGGTGTATATCTTAAAAAAAAAAAAGATTTGTATATATCTCATATAAAATCCTTCATTCTCAAAATCTGATGCAATGAAAAATATATTTAAATATTAATATAAATATATTTAGATATTAATATAAATTTATATTTTATAATTGTTGGTTCTAATAAATATGATAAAATAAAAAAGAATCCTCACAAATGAGAATTCCAAAATTGACGCCATGTAATCTAAATATTACTATAAAATTGTTTTTTTTCTGTGTGTATGTAACATATATGCTAATCCAAATCAATGATTATAATAAATATGTTAAAATTAAAAAGAATCCTTGATAAATAAGAGTTCCAAAATCGGCTACATATAATTATTTACATAATCTTTGCCTACAAAACCACTATCAACGTAATTAAAGAAAACTAAGAATTTACTAAAACAAACACAAACCGAAAATCGAGTTATATGAAAATTATGCAATTAATGATTTATTTTTTATTTAGATCCTTTTATATTATTTCTATCTATAGTAGGTAATGAATGTTTTGGGCGGAAAATGCTCATAAAATGTCCGGGTATGAAAAAATAATATGTTATTAAAAACCTAATTGTAAACAACATTATTAGTTTGATTATTGGGCACACTACAATAAAATGATAAAATTTCAATGAAAATCTATTCCAAAAGAAATTATTCCAACGACAATTCCAACGGATATTTCAATATTATTTCCGTTAAAAATTTTCAATGGATTCCAACATAAATTCCAACAAAAATATTCCGTTGGAATGAATTTTCCATTAAAATTTCTGTTGGATTTTGACGATTCCAACGGTGGATTTTTCAACAGGGTGGAAATAAAAATTCCAACGGAATTTGCATATTCCAACGAAAATTCCTACGGTAAAAAAAAAAAACCATTAGAAATATAGCAGTTGAAATCATCAAATTTCTAAGATTGACACTCACTCTTGTCTATCGTCATGACAATATAAATGAATGTTTATCTAAAACACTTAATCTTTGAAATGCAGTGATCGTGTTTATTTTTTAATTTCGTGATTGATGGACTATTTTATTAATTAGTTGGTTTGAATCAATATATAAAAAATTTTGTTGCCAATCGTCATTAGAGTTCTTAAATTAATTTGTGTAAATGCATAAATAAAAAGAGACCTAAACTATGAAAATTTTTTCATCTTTTGAAATCAAACAAATGACAAACACTATCTTTTAAAATAAATAATGATAATGATTATAACATTGTATTATCAAAATCGATAAGGTATATAAAATTTGTTTTCCTTTTCAAATCGATAATGAAGAAAAAAGTCTAATTGGTGAAAAGATGATATATACAAATCATGATTTTATAAATCTGATATATACAAATCTTAGCATGCAGTTTCAAATAATTTAATAATGTAATAATAGGCTGAATGAATTATGATTCAGATTCATGCAAAGAAAATTTTGAACAAATTTCTAAAATCATGATATATATACAAATCTTGATTTTCCTTGGAGATTTATTCGGATTTCCAAATTGTTTGGAAATCACGATTTCTAAAATCATGACTTAATCGGATTTACATTCGGATTTCCAAATTGTTTGAAAAATAGGAGATTTATTCGTATTTTGATTTCTTATTGGTTACCAATATAAAAGTATTTGATGTTATTAATAAAAAAAATGGAAAAAGCTGATTTGCTATTTTTAGGAGATAATTAATGAAAGTGGCCGGAAATTGTTTCTAATTTGATTTATGTTAATCCTTATTATATAGGATTAACATATATGTTAACATATAAGTAACATATATGTTACTTTCACGTAAATACTAATATATATATATATATATATATATATA